CAGAACCTCCTGCTGGGATTCTGGCTGGACCTTTCCCCACGCCTACTCCTCCCTGCACACCCTATCTGTGGCATCACAAAGTTCAGATCATAGAATCGTAGAACTGGAAGGGACCTCGAGAGGTCACCTGGTCCAGTCCCCTGCACTCATGGCAGGACAAAGTATTAGTTGTGAGATCTCCCCGTTAACCTCCTCCTGGTACTGGCCAAGATGGCCATCTCCAATCCAGGAAGAGGCAGCTCAATGGAGAGGTTCTCTGTGGCTATGGACACTTCAACACCCTGTTTCATGCATCTGGGGAGAGATCCTCTGGGGAGCATCCACGGACTCCTTGGATTACTCTCTGAAGCAGTGGTCACTGTCCAGGGTTCTCTGCTTGGTGTCCCCACTGGGTACTCTTGGTTTGAATCTTTGACCCCCACTCCTGTTCCCGTTTTATCATGTGTCATCTCGAGGAATCATTTGTCTGAGGGGTCAGGCCTGTTGTCCTATGTAGGTTCAGACTCACCCTCCCAGAATTCAGATAGACTAGCGTCTTCTAGGAGGAAGGGTAGCAATCACTTGAGTAGGCAATTTACTCCCCTCAGTAATGCTATTTCATGTCAGCATTGATGCTGTTTCCTGCTGTCACCAATATACACAACATGTACAGGGAAAGGAACTAAGTCTGGAATTAGTGTGACCCTCCAGAAATCTTGCACTGCACTGCCCAGCAGCAGCAGTGGCTTCTGCCACAGTCACTGTCATTAAGGCTCTGAGTCAGCCCCAAGAGAAAGTCTGTTTTCTCCCCACATTTGTGTTAAGTAGTAATGCTGAGAAATCAGGACTTCAGGCGCCAGGGGGAATACACCCTTTTTTAAAAACAAAGTTTACCCCCAGCCCAGAAAGTCATTGAGGCAAATAAACTAAGAAGGTTCACCAAAAAGGATCTGATATTTATAGGAGCAGGAATAGTACTTGTGATTACTTTAATGAGGTTAACCATTTAGAGGCGGTGGACATTCATTTGGTGGCCAGTCTGGAATTGTCAGAATTCTACATTTCAAATGTTACCAACCTTCATGCTTCAAGGCATAAACTGGACATCTGTGGGGTTAAGGAAGAAATGTTCCCACATTGCAGAGTTAACTAAGGACTTTTGTCACTTTCCTGTGTGGCTTTAAATTCAATCCCACATCTCCTTCCAACTGCTAATGAAGTTCTTCAGCATCTAATATAAAAGGTACCACTTGGATCTTAAATTAACTGTGGGTGTTTCAGAAACAAGGATACATTGATCCTACTTCCCTGGTTTAAGTGAGACAGGAGCAAGCTATGTATAGGATTTGTATGATTACACACTTGATCCTTCTTGTCATCTTAAACGGGCTTCCAACATTCTGTTTTCATATTTCTAATCTAGGGTCAAGGAATGTGAATTACCACAGCTAATAAAAAAGCTCTTTACACTGAGCAGTATTGTTGCTCATCTGAACAATAGAAGCAGGTCCCAGGAATGTCAGCCCATTGCTGCAAGCAGTTTCTCTTAGAAATACGATGATACATTCTGTTCTATTCAAATAGCTTCCTTATCATCACCTAGGTGTTTGTGAGCAAACCAGCCGTGATGCACCAACTTTGAAAGGCGGATAATGGAGTAACCCCGTGTAACTGGAATCCCCTAGCGCCTGTGCAAGTGACTCAGAATGGGAGTTTGGGAATGAGTTAATCTAGGGGGAGAGATTTATGCAACCTCAAAATAAATATCTGTATAAATGCAGGTCTTTAGAAATACAGGAATATCAAGCATTTTGTTTGAGCAGAGAGGTTCTCTGGGTCCCTCCGTTTTTTCTCTTTTATTTCCCTCCTCCTATAACTTAAGACAGATTGCTCCACCGGATCTCTTTCCACAGAGGATCAGCCAAAGATGATATTTAAATAAGTACATCTAGATTGCAGTTTTACATGGTAAATTCTGGTTGAAGTTTACTTGCACAATTGCCGCTTTGAAATGGTAGATTGTGCTGATTTATGCTGACTTGTTTAAATCTGTATTTACCCAGAATTATTGGTCAATTTAATAAAAATAAATTACCAAAATTTAATTTTACCATTTCTAAGCTAGATGACTTTAAATTGCATTGCCTAAAAGATGCGTTACAAGAGGGCAGCAGTAAATAACTTACCTTGTGAAACATCAACATAATCACAATAATTTTAAATGGTAAATTAAAACGATGTCTTAGAGAGGTTTTAATTACACACTAACATACCTAACCTGGTTATTTTGGAAAAGAACGAAAGCGAAAACACTCACCTAGATAGCAGGTTAAGGGGGGGGGGGAGGTAGAGTCCTGATGGAGCAGGGAGGGGTGAGCAAGGAGCAGGTGCAGAGGGTTGAGTCCTGATGGGGCAGTGAGGGGAGAGGGTGAGCAAGGGGCAGGAGCACAGGGTAGAGGCCATGTGGGACAGGGAGGGGAGGCTGCTAAGGAAATCAAACATTCTGTGAAACATTTTGAAAAACTAGATGCTATTTATAAAGCACCCTGTGTTAGTAAAAATGGATATACTGATTCCTGAAGAGGCAGGATTGGAATAGCCACACCAGTATCCATAGGTGACGTGGGGGTGGGGGGGGCTGCACATAGGGTCCCATGCCCCCCAGCTTTCTGCCAGGGTGGGAATCAGGCTGCGTGCGGCTGAAGAGGTGCTTGGGAAAGGCACCAGCAGCGAGCACTCCCGCCGAGTCCCACTAGATGGTGCCCAGAGCAGGGAAGCCAGAAGGAGCTGGCAGCACAGCTCTGCCAAGGGGTGCGGGGAAGCCGGCTGAGTCCCATCCCTTCCTTGCAGGCCCTCAAGTACGTGTCTGGACTAGCCTGCCTGGAGCTCTGGGAGTCAGCTGGGGCAATGTGGGGGGAGAAGCAGCGGGACCCAGGGGAGCTAGAGGTGGGGAGCCCAGGGAGGTAGCTGGGGCTGGGGCAAGGGGGTGGTCGTGGGGGAGGCAGTGGGGTCCAGGAGCGATGCAGGGGATCCCGGGGAAGCAGTGGGGGGCTAGGAGTGAGTGGGGAGAGCCTGGGAGGCAGTGGGGGGCAAGGGTGATTGCATGATGGGTGGGGGCATTGGGGAGCAGAGGGGGTTGGGGGACTGGGGGAGGCAACAGGGGCCAGGGCACCAAAATACAAGTTTGCCCAGGGTGCCATTTTTCCTAAGGCCCAGTGTGCCTTGGTCAGGGGGGGTGTTGCTGGAGAATGCGTTGGCAGTCACCAGGATGTTGACTATGGCTGTGGTGGCAAGTGAGGGCCTGCCACTGTGCCCCCACTATCAGCAGCTACCAGTCGCCTACGCCAGTACCAACTCTAGAACCCATGGAGGGGAGAAAGCTGGCAAGGGACAGAGTGGGTGGTTCAGGGGAAGAGTTAGCATTAGAGAAGCAAAGTTGCTCCATTGTAAAACTCCTTTCCCACAGCAGTTCAGCTTCCACTGTCCAGTTCTTTTTGCCCTAGAACCGATGGTTCACTCTCAAAAACATTGTCAGTCTCTGATCTTTCTCTACCCTTCCAATGCCATTTTAAGTCCAAGGAGTTCTGAAGAAGTTGTTGGGGTTGGAAATTATTTCTGAATGTGACAACTGTGACTTGAAACAAGGAGCTTCCTATCTTTTGTTGGGTTTACTGTAGCATCCATCACCACAGTATATGAAAGCGCCTTCTATCGGTATTTCTCTTTGCTTTGTTTGCATGCACACCCATTGCCCCAGAAAGCAGTCATGTCAATATGTGAATGGTAAGAAATAGGAAGTCTGGACAGTATCTTGATTCTGTAATGGCCTTGTCCTGACAGGTGCTGAACATTTCTCAGGTTTGGATTCTAATCTATGGTCCAACAGAGGCTTTCGTCATGCTGCATGCGGGTGGCTGGGGCTGTGCACATTTCAGTCCCGGGCTGTTCACACTGGGCATAGATTTCAGCGTACAGGATCACATTATTTCCTTCCCTAGAAGCTGCTTCACGCAGGTCCAAGGCAAACCCCCATCTCCCTCAAAGCTGTACCACAGCCTAGGCCCCATCATCCTAGCCCCATCCCATCATATTCCTATGCTCCAGCCTCCAGGGGCTTCACTTAGGGTTACCACCTGGCCAGTATTTGACTGGCCTGGTCTGTTTGTTTGTTTTTTTTTAAATGGATTTGTCAGTTGCCATAAAAATAATTTAATCTGCCAGGATTTTTTACATGGTTCTAAAGATTTGTATGATTATCACAATGCACTGGGATAGCTAATGGTAAAAGTTTGTGTGTCTCGCTAAAGATGCTGCCGTGTTCCCACTTCCGCAGTTTACGTAAGGAAATGATGTTATGACTCCGATCTGTAGGTGTTCTCTCTCCCGATTCTGTGCATGGCTGTTGAAAGGGTGGGGCTGTGAAGCTGCCTTGTGGTTGGGGTTGCGGTGGGCCTGCCTTGCGTGGGGCTGCCGGGTTTCTGCACTTCGAAGATGGTAACCCTGGCCCCGAGCCGCACCCTGCACGAAGCCACATCGCATCCCCTTGCTGGGACTGCGCCTGCAGAGGGACCCAGCTGGGGGCTGCTCCATGCGCTGGGGCCTGTTTCCCCCTACAGCGGGCTGCATCCATCTGGCCCAATTCTCCCCACCCCCTCACCCTGCCCCTTGGGTTACCCGGGGGTAGCGGGGACGGGGCCTAACTAGTCTCCTCCAGGGCAGGACCCCATTAAACAACATGGCGGCGCCTCGGTAGAAATGGCGTCCTCCCCACGTGATCTCCAGGCTCCACCCCCCCCGAGGTCATGTGCTCAGCCTTCCTGGAGTCATGTGACTTCTCCATTGCCGCTGAGACCGCGAAGCGGGCGCCCTGTTGGCCGGGGTGCCAGCGGCTGGTTACCATGGGAACGCCGCCCGGAGCTCACCCGCGCCTGCTCCTGCTGCTCGTCCTCGTGCTGCCGCTGGTGCGGGGCCTGGGGTCCCGGGGGCAGGGAGGGGACCCGCGGCCCGCACCGGGTAGGTGCCCCCGGCCCCCGCTAGCCATGGCCCCTACTGCCCTCTGGGGACAGCCCGGCCGCGGTGGCGGCCCGCGGGGACAGCCCTGCCCGGCCTGGCGGGTGAAGTCGCTTCGCTTCGCTTCCCTTCGCCTGGCCTGTGGAGTGACTCCGGAGCAGAACCAGCCCCGCGCTCCAAGCGCATCGCGGGGGGCGGCGGCGGGAGCGGGGGTCTGTTCCATTCAGAATAACCTACCTGCTTTGAATGCTTCGAAAGGGTCATGGAAACGTTCCTGCTTCCGTTAAGCTTTGTAGACGCCCGTTTACACAGCCTGCCTGTGCCCCTTTAAACCCTGCCTGCAAACCCCAGTGTAACCCAGCTAGGCATTCTTTAGTTTACAGAACACAGGAGCCTGTTTACAAGGAGCAGTACTTTGAGCAGGTATTGGATCACTTCAACTTCGAATCGTATGGCAATAAGACCTTCCTACAGAGATACCTCACAACAGGTACGTCCGTTACAAACCGGGGCTCAGACAGAGCCATCTTTCATCTCCAAAACATGTTTACTGTTAACCGATTCTAAAAGAGTTTGCAGATCCGGGCACGTGTGGGCCCATCTGTAAGTGATTTTTGGAAATATGGTGAAACTTTCAGAGAAATTTCGTTGGCCTGTTGCTTTTCCGGAATGATGCATTAAATATACTTCCAAATTTCCCTGTAGTAGGAATACAGGGAGTGGTATTCCACATTGGCTCTACTGTACCTCAGCATAGTAAACCATTTAATGGAATTAAATTAAAGATGGAAGAGACCTACTAGTTCATCCCCTGAGTCCCAGTTTCAAATATCTTAAGTGATCTGGCTTCTATTAATACTTCCCTTGAAAGATTATTCCACAGTTAAATAAATCTCACTACTGTGTTGTTTTTTCATTTTTTTGAAACTTGGGGGATGCTTCTGGATCCCTGTAAATCATTTCCTTTTTTCCTCAAGGTTTACATCCATCAAATACTTGTCGACCGTTAGGGCTATGATAGTTAGTAGTTAATTTAATCAAGCAATACAGATTTAGCTCTTCTAATCTTTCCTAGCAAATCAGTTTGGAGTTCCTTCACAATCTCCTCTCTGTATTCCTCCAATTTGTCATTTGTTCTGTTAATGAGGTGTGCAGAGCTGAATGCAGTGGCCAAAATGTGGCCGCTCCAGAGCCATGGAGTGACCAGCTATGTGAGGCATGAACTGGCCTTTGTTGCTTTGCTGCTGTATTACTATTTTTGATAACTTCTAAGGCACCTATTGCAGGTGCAGCTTGGTGCTTTGAATACAGTAGAGAAAACAAATGGTTAAACATGTCCTGGAAAATCAGGAGGCTCAAAGTCTGCACTGCTGAGGGGGTTAAGTTCCAAAGGTGTTTGTGTGTGTGTGAGGGGGGGGCGTTTCTTTGACTGAAAAAGCCCTGCTGCCAAACATGTAGGGCCAAACTGTGCTCTGTTCTCCTTATGTAAATCCCTAATCAAACCCCCGGAGTTCTGCTGTATTTTACACTAGGTATAACTGACAGCAGAATCTGTTCTTGTGTATTCAAACTTTACTGCCTCGCAGTCCATCTTAACCACCAAGATCAGGTAAAGAACGGAGATGATGCATCAAGTAACTGTTTTCCAAGCTGTTCAGAGCTTTAAAGTTTCAAACATTTTGAACTGCGTAGTGCAGTGAAAAAAGCCAGCAAACTTATCTCTTGTCTCAGATTGATACTCAACAGTATATGTTGTGACTCAGCTAGAGGTGAGTCCTCTTCTGTGAGTCCTTCAGAGAAACAAGGTGCTCTTCAAGTACTGAATGATTAAATAAATTGAAAGATTTGAATAATCATAGAAAACACTGCTTTGAATTTTAATGCAAAACAAGTTTTGTAGGGGGAAAAGATCTCTTTATAGGAGAATGAATGAAGGCCTGTTAGGAGGAATTTGAAGGTGTGTGGAGATCCAGGTGTTTGGGGTTGTTTTTTTTTTGGTTGGTTGGGTTTTTTTTTTTGGGGAGAGGGGAAGCTATGATCAAACAGTCAACAGCTCCCATTTATAATCTTACTGTCGGGGGGGAGAGGGAGGTTGAGACCACCCATAGTTTCTGCTTCCCTCTTCTCCCCCATGAAATGCCTGCTGCAACAGTTTTGTATCCTACGCTCCCTTGGACTCATCTAGTTTGTTGCATGGTTGGTTGTTTAAATCACTGAATGAAACACTTATTTTAAATTAATTGTTACACTTATTTGATCCTAGTGTCATGTCAGGCCAAACCCTGTAAACTGGAACTAAATCATATTTGTAAAACAAATGAAACATCAGCATTGTGGTTCTGTTAGTTGCAAAATATCGGGGGGGGCTGGGGGGAGTGGTTCTGGGCGTCTCCCCCCATTCCCACCCACACACTTTCCTTTTGTGCATTATGGGCCTTTTGTGATAGTAAGGATTTGAAACAACTAATGACAACTGGCTGCCAGAACTTATTTCACAAGTAAGTCAGCTGACTCTCATGAGATTAGCTGGGAGTTGTCCAAAGTTTCAGTTTAAAAATAAACATTTAAAAAAAAAACCCCACACTTAGGTTGGCTATGAGACCAAATCATTCTGGTTCTTCAGAGAATTGCTAGTCACTTTTAGTGATCTTTCCAGTATGGCATATTTGATTATAGTTCCACTTCGTGGTAATTTATCTCTTCTCTATTTCCCTGCTGATTACCCACGTATGTCATGAAAACAGAAGATACCCCTTTGCAAATGGACCAGTACCCCATACCTGAGTCAGTGATTTCACAACTGATTTATAAATACTTTATTGTTATCTGGTTTATAAATACAAACCTCACTATTATAAATAGTGGTGTCTCCCAGGGATCTGTACCAGGACCAGTGCTGTTCAACATATTCATAAATGATCTGGAAAAAGGGAGCGAACAGTGAGGTCTCCAAATTTGCAGATGATACAAAATTACTTAAAATGGTTAAGTCCAAAGCAGACTGTGAAGAGTTACCCAGGGATCTCAAAAAACTGGGTGACTGGTCAACAAAATGGTAGATGAAATTCAGTGTTGATAAACGCAAAGCAGTGCACATTAGAAAACATAACCCCAACCATCCATACAAAATGATGGGATCTAAATGATTTGTTACCACTCAAGAAAGAGATCTTGACGTCGTTGTGGATAGTTCTCTGAAAACGTGCTCAAATGCAGCAGCAGTCAAAAAAAAATAACAAAATGTTAGGAACCATTAGGAGAGGGATAGATAATAAGACTCTCTATGTCCATGGAACGCCCACACCTGGAATACTGCATGCAGTTCTGGTCTCCCCATCTCAAAAAGGGTATACTTGAATTGGAAAAGGTACAGAGAAAGGCAACAAAAATATTGAAGGATATAGAACAGCATCCGTATTAGGAGAGATTTAAAAGATTTTGACTTTTCAGCTTGCAAAAGAAACTACTAAGGGGAGATACCATAGAGGAATATAAAATCATGAATGGTGTAGAGAAAGTGAATAAGGAAATGTTATTTACTCCTTCATATAACACAAAAAGCATGTCTGTATTTCTCAGTGTGTCATATCCTCATGAGTTAGTCTCCTGTCAAAGAACAATTCAGCCCTATTCTACAGTCCTCACTCATACAAAACTCCCCATTAACTTCGCTGAGGGACAATCCTATAATACTTTACCAGGCACTTTTTGTTTTCTCCAATGTGCTTCTAATGACTGTCTTTTATAGCTAAATTCTGGAAGAAGGGAGTTGGGCCCATCTTCTTTTATACTGGGAATGAAGGAGACATTTGGGAATTTGCTCAGAATTCCGGCTTCATCCTTGAGCTGGCAGAACAGCAGAATGCGCTAGTAATTTTTGCTGAGCATGTGAGTATTTTATTAACTTTTTTCCCCATATTTTTATCTCCATCGGGTATTACCAGCAGCAACCCCCTACAGTCCCCGGATAATTAGGTGCAAATCCCTTACTCTGAAATTGCTGTGCACCTCCCAGGGACAGTCTAGACATAGTAGTGACTCTCCCCTACTGAGCCACGTACTCTAAATTATTTATTATGCCCATCAGCGGTGCAGTATAAATAACAGTTCACGCCACAAAACCTAGGCTGTATTGTGCTTTAGAATGGTGCTTTTGTAATCGATTTTCTCTAGCTCTAAACATCAATAAATTCACAGCTGGAGAAGGGTGTGTGGTGGGGGGGTCTGCATTATTGTGCCGAACTTGAGGACTGTTGAGTCACATTCTGCCCTGATTTACCACCCACGTAAGCTCTCTGTAGTCTGGGGAGCTGTGTGAAGTCTATGAATGAGGTAAGGGTTCAACGTTCATCACTCATTCAACCCTTGGTGTTTTGAGTTGTTGGCCTCTCTGCTAAGATGGCCAACAAGGGGGCCAGCTAATACCTGCTGTTTTAGGTTGTCATGTGACTGCCTGTCTGTTACGAAGAGAACAGACCACCGGGGAATTTTAAATTGGCCACCAAACAGCTGTAGGATGGCATTGACTTTCAGCTTCTGCTGACCCAGGCAGGCTTGAACATGATGACCTAGGAGGAGAGGAGATATGATGTGGCGGGTCCAACACCTCTTTATGCCTCGTTTTCTTTCAGAGGTATTATGGGACATCTCTTCCATTTGGGAAACTGTCAATGCAGCGGGAAAATATTGGCCTGCTCACTGTGGAACAAGCCCTTGCTGACTATGCGGTGCTCATTACAGAGCTTAAAAAGCAGTATGGTGCCAGGGACTGCCCAGTCATTGCCTTCGGAGGCAGGTAAATGCTCTCAGGTCTCTCCAGGTACTTATCTTCCTTCTCTACATTGTTCCGTAATTGGTGTGGTGCTGTCCTTATAGGCTTCCCCTTCCAGTAGAAGTGCACGCTTTCCCAGGATTCCTTGCTCTCTCACTTCAATTTTCTTTGCACTGAAGCATGATGGGTACTTGCATGTGGTAGGATATAACTCTGGAATGCTACTCCTTCCCCTAGTTGCTTCAGTTTGTTTTCTAGCACTGATTCCTGATATTTGCTCTCTGTTTAAAATGTGTGCTGTCTGGATGAGGGCCATAAAGTCTCAACCCAGCAGCCTTCAGTCCCCTCCCAGGACATGAGGCCTAAAATAGGAGACCATGCTGAGCAATCCGTTCCTGATCTCTTCCCAACAAGGCTGCTTAAGATAAGGAGATCATTCAGACAATGTTGATGCCTGCTTTAATGGAATAGGTAATTCATCTCAGGTATTTAGGGCTGCAACTCCAAAAGGCAGCTTGTCACAGTCAGTCCTGGCTTCTAGTCACTTTAAATAGGCACCATGAACTGGCAATCTCTAAGCAGTGTCAGTGAATGAACTAGTTCCAGGTTCAGTGCCTGTCCCTGAGCTGACCAAGAGCGCTGGACCACCCCGCCCCAAGAACTTCAGGAGACAGGGATGCTTAATGTAAACTGTAATAAAACATTTTATACTGGGAAGGCAGGAAACTGGTAATGAGATAAAGAGCTTTTGACCAGTAAGTCTCCAGTTCACATTCAGTCCAGGCGGCTGGTGACTGGAAAGATTTTATTAATGTGTTGCACTTCAGTAGCATGTGTGAAGGGAATCATGGGTGTGAGTTAGTTTCCGTACTGCAAACACATCACAGTGGTTGGTAGGCTCAGTAGAGAGGCCAAGGACTGATGGCATTATGGAGACTGAATTCTCCACTTGACTTTGGAGGGGATCTTGATGATGCACTTTGGCTGGGCCACATGTGGGAATCTTGTGCTGCTGCTGTTCTGTGGGTAAAGAGAGGACTTCAGTCTCCAGGGTATGAACGGAGCTGCCTGCGGATTTGGGAAAGGTCAGCAAGTACATGCTGGGGATACACCCCAAACATAATTGACCCGTTTGAAGTGTGTGTGTGTGTGTGTGTGATATCTTTTAGATGCCCTCCCACCCAAGCTGCCTGCTCCTCTCAACCTCAGTGATGAGTTTAGATTTGTGTTAATGCTTTTTGGAAAGGAGAGGACCAGAGAGCTGCTTTTTTAAAATGTAAGATGAGATTCTCATTTAGAGTCCAGGCTCACTGGGTTGGGCGAGGCCAGAACTGCAGGCTCCACAGGGCCCAAATTACTGAACAAGTTTTGCTTTAAATCACATGTGTTGAGTGAAGTAACCCTTCTCTCTCTCTCTCTCTCTCTCCCCTCCCCTCCTATTCCCCCCCACACACACAGTTACGGAGGAGTGTTGAGTGCTTACATGAGAATGAAATATCCTAACATTGTGGCTGGAGCACTAGCTGCCAGTGCTCCTCTGTTGGCTGTGGCTGGGATTGGAGACCCCAACCAGTTCTTTCAAGCTGTCACTGCAGTAAGTGGAAGCTCCATTGAAGGAACAGAAGCTGGCTTGTCTCCTAGTGACAGTATCTTTCCAAACTGCCATCTCCTCGTGACAGAGTGTTGGGCTGAGTGAGTAGCTGGAATGGGGACCTCTAAGGAAAACCAGCTGCTGCAGGATGTCACGCCCTTCCCTGTGTCAGTACTGAACCAGCAGGCCTGCATGGGGTAGAGGATGCTGTGTAGATGGAGATCTCCTGGATGGGTAGCAAAACTGAGCTCTGACCCCCCCCCCCATTGTCATTAAAGATACATTATCCCAATATTAGTGTTCTGGCCAAATTCCACCCTGGTAAATCCCCCTTGTAATCACAACTGGATATGCCTGGCTAAATACCCCTTGTAATCACAATAGCTATTCTTCATTTCCTGTCCTAAACTGTTGTTTCACTGTGCATGCAATACTGCATGGCATCTGCTTAACCACAGAGGTAGCTGCATTTCAGTAGTGGGCAAAGTGACTCCCAGTGTACTGGAAAAGTTTGTAAAGCACTTTGGGATCAATTTGAGTGAAAGCCCCTGAAAACACAAGATGACTATTGCTTACACACTTGCAGGGTGATAAAGAGACTTTTGAATTATTATTTGGAACTATTTTAATGTCATTGGAATTATGTTATAAGGTCCCCCTGGGCTGCAGGTTAGGGCTAGGGGTGACTTGCCAGCTGATAATCTGAGAACATGGAACATTGTGCTCGTGAAAAGTCCCAGGCTGATGACTGTGAAGGCTGAAATCCTGAGTGAATCCACAGAACAGCTAATAGCACAAGCAGCAGCTGGCCTGGCCATCTGCTTCAGGCCCACCTTGCTGCTACAAGGGCAGAGGAGGTGTTCAGTCTCCAGATCTGTCCAACTGATGGCTTCTCTGAGGAGACTGCACACAAGGAGCAGTGCTGATGCTCATACACCAAGAACTCAACAGTGGCCAGTAGCTTGGTTCACATAAGCCGTTGAGCAAGAGGTGGTCACATGCAGGGTAGGATATGAGCCAGTGCTGCAGGTGAAGGTTCCTGTGGATGGGGTGCACTCACCTGTCGTGAGCGCCTCCTGTTGGCTGACTGTGATCCTGCACTCTCCCTTTTCCTGTCATCTTCAGTAGGTGGTTACCCTTGTCAGGCAGGTCCTTCAGTGGCTCAGCCCTCTGTCCAAGTCACACACAGTCAATATGCATGAACGTAACAAAGGTCCAACAAGGACTGTTGTTGTGCCCTTGTTGGTGTCTTTAGACCTGTCTCTGGGCTCAGTTCTCAGCTCCTTCTGGGCTAGCTTTAAGACCTTCCCTGCCCTGTTGTAGAGCACTGCTCCCAGGGCTTTCTCCCTGGAGACTTTATCCACAGCAATTCTCAGTGCCTCAGCTCTCCAGCCAAGTCACTCCTTAAGTTCAGTCCCCTTCCAGGGGGTGGTAACCAAAAGTGCATCGGTTGCCACTAGCCCCCATCCATTCCTCCGCACCCTGCTAGGGGTCCCACTCCACTTTTTTTGCAAAACTATGCATTTGTCCAGTTTGCTCTTGCCAACTGATGATCAATTGGCAAGAGCAAGTGGGATAAATGCCCGGTTTTGTCAAAAAAAATCAGGACGGCCAGGACAGGGCCTAAAAAAGGGACTGTCCCAGCCAAAATGGGACATATGGTCACCCTACAGCCCAGGGACCCTATAAACACCAGAAACCTACTGCTTCCCTTAATAGTTGCTGCTGCATTCCCTGAGCTGCTTCCCAGTTGGTCACGTTCACCTGTTGCCTTCGAGTTATAGTCCTTGGGTTGCTTGCGTCTGTTCCCTGCTTGAGCAGGGTCTCCCCAAGCCACCGTGGCTGGAGAGTCCCTCTGTCTTATCTCTTGTGGCCCCAGCCAGGAACTGACCTGCTCCAGGGTCCTGCAGCTCTTTTTATCTGAGCTTGATGAGCTCTGATAGGTTATAGGGAAGCAGCCATTCTAGGCAGGCCTGGAGGACCCACCTTTACCGCTCCTTTCCTGGGGGGAGGGGGTGGTAGGACTGCCTGCAGCATGGGGCCTCAAAGGGCCTGATACCAGAGCCCTGCAGCAGGACTGGGATCCTGTGGATCCCACATGACCCACTGCCATAATAGCCGGAGCAGGTAAAATGTATTTTGTTGTAGGTGGGATCGGGTGGGCAAAAAAAAACCAGACGGTGGTAATTTGCGGGAAAACAACTACATCTCTCATCGGCTTGTCATAAATAGAACTTCAGCAATGTAAAGCAAGTTTTTCTTTTTTTAAAAAATAAAGGTTTTAATACTTAAATTTAAGAGACCGATAGAAAGAGATTTGATGTCTGTTCTAACAGGAGTTAAAGTATTTTTGACATGGTTCAAGCAAGATTTGTTTTATTCTTTTAGTGGTAAAAATAGTGTCCCAAGTGTCTCACACACACTCATATTAACTGACTTTTTTTGTTTTTTGTAGCATGAGGGAGTCTGTCTCTTGCAGGATTGAAGGTTTTTGTGGGTGGGAGTGGGATAAAAATGCAAGAAACAACGCAGGAGCAGGTGGGAGTGGATATTGCAGGGCGGGACAGGAGCACGATTTAAAAAAAATAGTCCTGCGCAGGGCTCTACCTGGTACACCTGTCACTGTTCGTATCCTAATTCCAGTCCCATGTGACTGTAATTAATAAAGTCTCACAAGGGCAGCCTGCAGAACTCCTCCCTCCTCTTTGATGCAACTTAAAATGAACTTGCTTCTGAAGCGGAGGAGGGAAATTCATTCCTCTTGGCCACTAAGCAGCAAAGCTCTCCCTGAAATCCTGACACATTTACCATGTCATTGCTCCTTCCAATCTGGTATCCTGCCTCTGTCTTTGCCATCAATGGAAGCTAAAAAGAGCCTGCTTATTTCCCCAATACTCTTAGAAAGATAGGAGGGAACTTGCAGGCTGTTCTCTTATGTCCCAAGGTAGGAGACTGGATTCTTCAATCTTAGCTTGCAAAGCAACAGATAATACTTGTGAGGATTAACTGTCCAGCGCTGCTTGGAAATATCACTGTGTTTGACTTGGTGACCTGCTGCAGCATGGAGTTCCACAGGCTGATGTGAATTAACATTTCCACATCTTGGCCCTAAATTAACTGCTTGTTAATCTAAACAATAGTGCCTTTTGAGCTTGCACACTCTTGTTCTGAAAACTTTATTTAGATTTGGTGGCTTAGAGCTCAGAGAGATCTGTGGAAAATCTTAAGGAAAGGGAATGGCTTGTGTGAAGATGAACTGAAATGCTCTTTAGGTGAACAAATAAAAAGTCTCATTTAAGATCCTAAATTGTTAAGGGAATACAGGATGTTATGCCTTAAAAATATGCTTTTGAAAACAAAATATTTGAAACCATTTCTTCTTAATCACCAGCCTGGCCCAGCTCTGAGAATTCTTCTGTGTTTGAAGTTAATTCTTCCCTAACGCAGTGTAAGACACATAGCTCCCTGCTCTGCTTTAGGTATTAATGATACCATTAATTATTGCACAAACCTAAACTGAATTTTTGCTGGGTCTTTTACATTTAAAAAAAACCTCTTTCCATTGACTCCCAAAATGTGTGCCTCTGTAGTGTTAAGACTAACTGTGTGTTAAGATCCTAAGCAGTCCCTTTGTGTATTTTTTTTTAAAGTGCTTCCTTTCACCTTTAAGGAATCTTCATAGCAGCAGTGTGTGCACTGAAGGCAATTCAGGGTTCAGTTGCTGACCTTGGTGAGAGAATGCACCTGTGTTGCTAATATTCCTAAAGGCAAACATTTCATGATTCATTCACAGTAGTTTTCTTCCTCTCATTCATTTTGCATGAGTTAGACTGTGTTTACTTGGAGTGAAATGCCTTCTGTTGAAGGCTCTCCAAAGCACTTTCTAAACACTAAGCCTCATAACACACGGAGGAGATGGGGTGAGTCAGATCCATTTTAAAGATGGGCTGAGTGTAGCACCGAAGGTAGTGGCCGTGTTTTTAAATGCATGTGTATTTTTTTCACAAGGCTGAGTTAAATGTGCAAACTGCCTGTCTTATACCTGTGGGCTTTTGTGTGTGCAATTCAGGTATACCCAAGTGCACACTTCCAATAGCCTTGCACAAGTCATTTAGTACCAAGCTTATCAGGTGACCTGGAGAGGTGATAATAGAAACTAGGGCCCTGATTCTTGCTTACTTTTTTCCTAGTGTAGACATCATCTGTGGCTACTTCCTACCATTCTGGTAGGATAAAAGAGTCTTAAAATGTGTTGTTAGTAACAATAATCCCTAGCTCTTATATCTTCTTCATCAGTAGATCTCAAAGCACTTTACAAATAAATTAAGTATCATTATTGCCATTTTACAAATGATAAAGGGAAACTGAGGCACAGAGAAGGGAAGTGAGTTGCCCAAAGTTATCCAGCAGATCACTGGCAGAGCCAGGAATAGAAGCCAGGTTTTCTGAGTCCCAATCTAGTACTCTATCCAATAGCCAATGCTGCCTCCCAAAACATAATTTACTCTTACTTTTAAGGCCCCTTTGCACTGGCAGAATGCTTCCAAGTGGCCTTAGTGTAAATTAGAATCAAGGCCTTTGAGCTCTGTGACCGTGACCCGTTCCCTAGCTGCTGAGTGTGTCCCCTCCTGTCACTTAACACTGAGAGGAGAAGTTATATCTGACTTTTTCTAGCAGAGAGATGGCAGAAAACAAACTGGCTGCCATTCTGTTTGGATAAGATGGAATTGCAGCTTACTGCACCTGGGGGAATGGGCGGGGGATCCTTTGGAAGAGAGGACAGAGGTTGTATCAGCACCATCTATAAGAGTGTACATATGACTTGCCGAAGTGGCTTGCAGTCTGTTAGCCCTGTTGGTGGCTCATAGTGCCTTCTGCCATGGCTGGCTGCTCAAGAAGACAGGGGCTGCTCCCCTTGGATACAGACCTCAGAGCTGTTATCTATCCATGTTTGTGTAACTTCCTGATTTGGCTGCTGTAATTTCTCTCTCGCTCTCATCATTTTAGGATTTTCAGAGCTATAGCCCAGCTTGTGTCAAGGCCGTGAGCAAAGCCTTCCAGGAAATCAGTGACCTCTACTTGCGTGGAGGTAAGATGAGCTTGACTGCCCACGGCATAGTGCTTCCGAACAGCTGGCAGGAGCCATCTCCAAGGTCCTCTCTGATTGAGAGAGTTGCAGTTTTTAAGCCGATTTAGTTAAACCAGTGCAAACCCCTGTGCAGACCCTTATTTAGGGTTAAGAGCGGCTTATTTTGGTTTACAGTAAAAGACTTCAGCTAGATTGAAATGAGACCCTCTTAAACTGAAATAAGCATGTCCTCACAGACGTTTGCACTGGTTTAACCAAACCAATTTAAAATCACACCTTTGGTTAGATGGGTGTAACTTCCTCATGGAGACAAGGCCTCAGGGTTTTTTGTTTTATGTATATTCATGTGATGTACAAGCCAATGAGGTGCATTGTGTGCAAGCTGATGGTGATGTCAACAACTGTCTGATGATCCCAAGCAGCCTCCTGGTGGAACCTTATCAAACATTGTTTTTCTCATCCTTCCTTCTTACTTCTCACTCCCTCATTTCTTGTTTGCTTGGTCGCTATTCTAACTCCTTTCCTCTGACGTAAAAACGGCATGTGCTGGGACCGCTAATGCAACCATTGCTGCTAATTGTGGCCCAGCCAGAGAGGGCACTGTGTGATGCAGTCTCCAGCTTGCCTCGTCGCAGCTAACCTAGGGTGTCTGCAACAGGAATCCTTTTCAGAGCCAGCTCTCCTGACTTTAGCAGGCCTCTCTAGATGATCTTTGCGTTTTAAGGTGTATCTGAGCTGTAGTGACGCTGTGGGCCCCAGATTTATTCTCACTCAGTGACTCTCACAGCTCCCAAATGGAAAAAGATGCTTTTCCCCACTATCAAATTCAACCCCAGATCTGACCATACAGCTGCGCTCTTTCTGCCTCTGCTTCTCAGCAGAGGCAGCACCAAGCCGCATTCCCCCAGGGCTATGCTGGCTCTGCAGAGCTAATGGGAGTGAAAACAACTCTGGGAGCAAACTAAAGAGTCCGCCCCTCCTGCTGCAGGGAATCCGTAATCCTCATTAGCTTCCAGTGGGAGTTGTATCCTGCTGGGGAGAGACTAGGCTCCAGAAGTGGAAAGGAGTAGCAGCTTGTCTACACTTAAAACGCTACAGTGGCACAGCGACGTTACTGGAGTGCTTCAGTGTTGACCCTACCTATGCTAATAGGAGGGATTCTCCCGGCGGCATGGATCAGCACCCCTCCGCCCCCCAGCCCGAAGCAGCTAGGTCAGCGGAAGAATGCAGGGTTATTACACAGTGGGGGATATTTGCACCTGAATACCCAAGCTTGTGTAAGTTAATATGTAGTATTACAAACCCTGTTCTTGTTTTCATAGCTTCATATTACTCCTGACTAGCCAGCCACGCGGAATTAATGAAACGTGGCACGGCTCTATGATATCAGTTTACACTCTTTGGTGCGTATGTATCATGTTTCTTTGCCTCTGCAGCCTACGATATAATCAGCAGTGAAATGTCCACTTGCAAGAGGGTTTCTAGCAAGGAAGATGTCTACCAGCTGTTTGAGTTTGCTCGAAGTGCCTTCACCATGATGGCTATGATGGACTATCCTTACAAAACAGACTTCATGGGTCACTTCCCTGCTTACCCAGTCAAGGTGAGTGCCAGGGTGCTGGAGGGATCAAGAAGAGCTCTTACACCTTCTTGAGACCATGAATATCATCTTGTGTGTTCTTTTCTTTTTGTCCTGCCACTAAATATATCTGAAACCGATTGCTCTGAAATGGATGGCTGCGGTCAGCCTCAGCCAAACTGCTTTCACTCAAATTACACACAATACAAGCACATTGACCTAAACTTTCAAAAGTATCTCATCACTTTAGGAACCTCTGTTTTTTGATTGTCCAACTCGAGACACCTTTAAAGGGTTCTGATTCTCAGAGGGCAAGTGACTTGGACTTCCTAACAATCAAGCTCCTTTTAAGATGTCTCAGGTCAGCCCTCAGCCCCACCACCTTGAGGAACCCAGAATCACTTGTTGCCAGGTCATAGACTATATAGGGTGGCACAGTGGAAGCAAGAACAGGATTTGTTCCCCAGAGTTTATATTTTTGAACATTTCCTGACAACTAATTCTTTTGACCTTTGTCCTGTGGTAATTCTTCCTCTCTCCATTCGCCCAGGGAAAACATGCTCTGGAGAGCCAGGCTGTGACTTGCGGATATCCCTTCTAGCATAATACACTGTTTTGTTGACACTAGAATAAGAATATAATAGAATACCTAGCGCTTTTCATCGTTAGAGCTTCAAGCAGTTTACAAAGGAGGTCAGTATCAGCATCCCCATTATACAGATGGGGAAACTGAGGCACAGAGGGGAAGTAACTTGTCCAAGGTCACCCAGTAGCAGAGCCAGGAACTGAACACAGGTATCCTAAGGTCCAGTCCAGTGCCTGATCCACACCGTCTCACTAAATAGCCCAACGGATTGGGACCACGGTACAGAGCTCTCCAGTCACCCCTCCCAATCCAGTAGCGTCCTGGTGATTTTTAGGTGGCCTAGGGCAAATAGTATTGATGGTCTTCATTCAGTTTCTGGTGTGTGGCTTGTAGTGCTCTTGGGCCACGATGCTACAGTACAGAACTTCACCCAAGTTCCTAACTGCTCCACTTGGCTGTTTTGCTAAGGAGCTCATGAATGAGCCACGAAGACTGACCTTCCCCATCCTCTCCACTAGGGGGTCCTCCTCAGGCAGGTGAGGCACCATGCCGGAAGGTGTGGAGAAGCATGTGTTGCTGGGGCCCATGTTGGACTTAGGGCGACGACTGGTAAAACCCCAGGACAAGATTTTTCACAAGCAACTAGTGATTTTGCAGGGGCCCAATTTGAGACTCCTTAGAGAAGTCTGGTTTTCAGAGGCCGAGTGGTCGGCCCTCTGACCATCAGCTCCTTTGAAGGTGTCTCAAGTTGGGTCCCTAGAATCAATAGTCATTCTTGAAAATCTTGGCCTCCTCCTCTAGGCTATTGGCCTAGCATCTTCTGTGATCCAAACTCTGCTAACCACTGGCATACGAAAGGGCTGTAACTGACATTGATTCCCCTGTAACTTTTTCTGCTGTCAGAACCTACTGCAGCCCTTCAGCATAGTGGCTCCAGGGTGAACTGCTTATTTCCTGGCCAGTTCCTCCAACCCACTCTATAATTAGAGGACAAAACTGTTCCATTGTCCCCTTACAAAGCAGCTAAACAGCTAAAATGCCTGAGGGAAAGAAGATCTAGAGGACCTTGAAAACTGGAGAAATAGAAATGGGATGAAATTTAATAGTGCAAAGTTGTGCACTGAGGGAATAAAAGAATTTTTGCTATCAGCTGGGGACATATCTGTTGGAAGTAACAGAGGAGGAGAAAGATCTGGGTGTATTGGTTGATCACAGGATGACTATTAGCTGCCTGTGGGATGTAGCCATGAAAAAGGTTAATGCAATCCCAGGATGCATCAGGCAAGGTATTTCCAGTAGAGATAGGGAAGTGTTATTGCCATTATACAAGGCACTGGTGAGACCTCATGTGGAATACTGTGTGCAGTTCTGGTCTCCTATGTTTAAGAAGGATGAATTCAAACCGGAACAGGTACAGAGGATGATCAGAAGAATGGAAAACCTTCCTTACAAAAGGAGACTCAAGGAGCTTGGTTTCTTTAGCCTAACCAAATGAAGATTGAGAGGAGATATAATTGCTCTCTATAAATACATCAGAGAGAAATCCAAGGGAGGGAAAGGAGTTATTTAAATTAAGGGCCAGTGTAGACACAGAACATATAAACTGGCCATCAACAAGTTCAGGCTTGAAATTAGACAAAGGTTTCTAACCATCAGAGAAGTAAAGTTCTGGAACAACCTCCCAAGGGGAGCAGTGGGGCAAAAAACCTAACTGGGTTCAAGACTGAGCTAAATAAGTTGATGGAGGAGAAGGTCTGATGAGATTGCCTACAATGGCATGTGGTCCACCTGTGACTGCTAGTAGAAAATATGTCCAACTGCTGGAGATGGGGCACTAGATGGGAAGGGCTCTGAGTTATTCACAGAATTCTTTCCCAGGTGTCTGGCTGGGGGTCTTGCCAACATGCTCAGGGTCAACTGATCACCATATTTTGGGTTGGGAAGGAACTTTCACCCAGATGAGATTGGCAGAGACCCTGGGGGTTTTCGCCTTCCTCTGCAGTGAGGGCACGGGTCACTTGTTGGTTTAAACTAGAGTAAATGGTGGCATCTGTATAACTTGAGATCTTTAAGTCCCCTAATGTCTGGCTGAGTTACTGTTTATTGCTGAAGCGGGTGAGTGAGGTTCTGTGGCCTGCGATGTGCAGGAGGTCAGACTAGATGATCACGATGGTCCCTTCTGGCCTTAAAGTCTGAGTGGAGAGTCTTTCCTCTTTCTTTTTTTTTTTTTTTTTTTTTTTTTTTTTTTTTTGAAGCTTCCAGGATAATCTTTGTGAAACTGAGACCTCCAAACTAACTTCTAATTGCTTGTCATTTAAAACATCTATCTGGAAACTGACCAAAGTGTGTGTGTGTCCCTTATCCAGGTTGGCTGTGACCAGATCCTTGCACACCAGGACTATATTAAAGGACTGGCAGCTCTTATCGGTGAGTTAGTTTTATCAGCTTTGTCATATTTGAAACTCTCCCTCAGAAGCACTTGCGAATGCGGAGTTATCCCATATTGTTTTAGGGGCTATGGAACACTTTGCACTGCAGTGGCCCAGGAACCTTAACACTTCACAGACAATGAATTAACCTTTCACCTCCCACATGACGTAACTATTAGCTTGGATCTTGCCCATTTTTTCAAAAGTGACTTAGGATATGTCTACACCGCCAGGGAAGGCGTGACCCTAGCACAGGGCTAGCTTTAACCTAGCTAGCAAGGGGAACAGTAGTAGGGAAGATGTGGTGACATGGGCTAGCAACCACAGTACAAGCCTGCTGGGGACCCCAAATACATACTTGGGTTGCTAGCCTGGGCTGCCACGTCTTCATTACTGTTGTTACCCATGTTAGTTAGATAATAGCTAGAATGGGCATGCCTACATATGCTGCAATCAGATCTTGTAGACATACCCCTGTGCTCTTTGGAGCCTCAGCCCCATGGACTTTCAGTGAGACTTAGGCTCCTGTGTCATTTAGGCCCTTTGGAAAATTTTACCTATACTCCAGCTCAACCAAAAGTTACAGGCTCGATTCAGCAGTCCCTGCTGGAGGTTGTCTAGCCTGTGTCTGCAGGAGGTCAGACTAGATCAGTGATTCTCAACCTATTTACCATTGTGGGCCACACATGCAGCTCTGTGTTATGTGAGCCACATCCACACAAGATATATACTACCCACATGGCCTTAAGGACGTCACATGGGCCACAGCTGTGTGCTGATTGGGCCTCAAGTGGCCTGCGGGCCATGGGTTGAGAACCACTGGTCTAGATTATCCTAAAGGTCCCTTCTGGCCTTAAAAATCTATGCATCTCTGTGTTTTATATTGGGCTTCTCACTGCGGGGGTGAGAGAGAAGGGTATCTAACATACCTGCCTAAGGGGACTTGTAAGGAGATCTTTGACATTTTAAAACCTTTGAGTGCAATTTGCAGAGTAAAACACTTCTTTAGAAGTGCTCTATTTTTAAAAAAATAACTGAACTTCCTCTTCATTCATTTCAAATAAGGTTTGCATATGTTAGATTTAGAAGGGAAAATATTCTTTATTTTTAAAAAGAGAAGTATCCAACCCAACCCATTGCGGCTAGGACATGCCTCCACTTCCTCTTTCATTTTTCCCGCACTGCCACCTCAGCAGTGCACACCAGCAACATGCTAACGTGCTGCTCCTAAATCACAAGCTGCAGCGTTTGGCTAGGAATTGAGGAGAGTGGTTAAAATGCTACGGGCATTTGCCACGTGCTGTCAGAGCAGCTCCTTCACGGATCCAGTTCCTGCTCCCTTTAAAAAGCCGAGTGGGGCTCTTGTTTGTTGGTGATGAACAAGCTGAGAGTGGATCTCTTCCTGCTGTTGCCACCCGGTGAGCACTTCACTCCTCTCTCCTGCTGGTCAGCTGCCATCTCACAGGACAGTTTAATCATGCAGGAGGCGTGGTCTACCAAAGCATTAGGCAGGGAGCCAGCTTTCTTCCATAGCCTCCCGTCAGGATCATAGATGAACACGCCATCTTCTTTACTCATGCGTCGCAGAGATCCACCTCCTGTGATATAGAGTCTGGAGTGGAGCGCAGCGATACTGAACTGGCAGCAGTCAAAGGGGGATAGCGTTAGTGTGGTCCACTGGTCAGTCATTGGACAGTAATTTTCTGTCTCGTTCACTTGAATCCATTCCTCTGCCTGCAAAGATCAACACTGATTTGCCACATGACAGTTTGGGTGGATGGTACTGTAACACTGGACTCTTTCAGTCTAACGATCCCCCACCCAATGAGTGATGCCAGGGTCTTAAGACATGGTTAAAGGCAAATTGTGTTCTTAAACTATTTGCCCACCAGGGGGCTCAGGATGCCTCCTTCTGAGTTGAAATGTGGCAGTCAAATTAAAAATTAGGAGAGTACTCATTGTTTTTGCTGATACAGACTAACACAGCTACCACGCTGAAACTAGTCAAATTAAAGGTTTCATTGTAGCAGTCATATTAGTCTGTATTCGCAAAAAGAAAAGGAGGACTAGTGGCACCTTAGAGACTAACCAATTTACTTGAGCATAAGCTTTCGTGAGCTACAGCTCACTTCATCGGATGCATTCAGTTTTTTTTTTTTCCACTGAATGCATCCGATGAAGTGAGCTGTAGCTCACGAAAGCTTATGCTCAAATAAATTGGTTAGTCTAAGGTGCCACTAGTCCTCCTTTTCTTTTAGTCAAATTGAAGGTATCCTAAGAAACCCAACTGGAACACCGAAGTGGTATCAGAAAATGGCTCTGAAGACGGGTTGTTCCTTTCTGGAAAATGGAGAAGGAATGCAGAGAAAAGCAAGTGCACCTAGGAGCTGAAACAGCCCAAGTTCTGGTCTGTCCCCTTTCGATTAAAGGCACCGGGGGGGAGCCCCGAACAGTGGATTGTGTTGTGTTGTGTCATGAACAGCAGCCAAGATGAAGCTTGGGGGAGAGGAGGTGTCATCCACAGCTCCATCTACATCAGTGCACCCTCTACATTGAAGGCTCCAAGGGCTGGTGTTTTTGCACCCACCGATTTAACCCACTTAAATACCTGAATACCTGTCTGAATCTGCAGATTAGGGCACCATGCTGGGATATGCAGGTGGCCAAAACTGCAGGCACAAAACCAGAGGGATCCAGTTAAAGGCAGGCCTGAAAACCTGCCCCACCACTGAGTCATCCTTGATGTCAGTAATAACATAAACCATGTGTATCCTTATGCATTGAGCCTCTGCCTATGGAGCAAGAGGCTGGAGGCAGAGGGCTTGGGGACACCGCAGGAGCTGTGGTTGCAGTATGGTGCAGGGCCCGGAGCAGGGTTGCTTGTTACACTTTGAATTCTATTCCCTCCTGGAGGAGTCTCCACCACAGCATTTAAAGGGTATGGAGACACTCAGAGAATCCTTTGGAAAGGCAGGCTGCCACAGGACAGCCTATTCTAAAAGAAAAACCCTCACCTATGTTAACCCCCTGCAATGAATAAAACTGAAAAAGCTTTTAGAAACCTGATTTACTTGATAGTTCTCTCTCTTATGGCCCTCATTACCATAGTATCTGAGTACAGCACAATCGTTCGTGTATTTATCCTCACAACATCCCTGGGAGGCAGGGCAGTGCTATTCTCCCCATTGTACAGATGGGGAACTGAGGCACAGAGAGACTTAGGCCTGATCTACACCTAAATATTAGATTGAGCTAGCTTCATCGCTCAGGGCTGTAAAAACTTTGCACCCTGTGTGATGCAGTTAGGCCAGTCTGACTTCTACTGTTAACATGGCTAAGTGACAGAAGAATTCTTCCGTCGACATAGGTACTGCCTCTCAGAGATGGATTACGTACAGCGATGGCCAAACCCCTTCCTTTGATGTAGGAAGCATCTACACCACGGCAGCCCCCTAGCTGTGCTGCTCTCGCTGCTTTAGCGTAAACAAGGGCTAAGTCACTTGCCCAAGGCAGTCTGACAGAGCAGGGACTTGAATGCAGGCCTCCCAAGCTCTAAGCTAGCTCCCTACTCCCTGGACCATCCTCCTCTCTGTTCTGCTTGCTTTCTGCATTTCTCTTGGCATGTGTGAGGAGAATCAGCTCATCAGTTTCACTCCTGCATTAGGATGTAACTGCAGAGGAATGATTTGGCTTTTAAAACATTTCCATCGATGCTGTAAATATTCTTGATATTGGTAGTAACTAGGATCTGATTATCACAGGGCTGCAACTCATGAAAACAATTTTATAGACCTAGGCATTTCTACAGGCTTGTAGAAATTGTGCTGTACTCAGATACTATGGTAATGAGAATGGGCCTGATTCACCACTGCATTAGTACCGGCAAGACTGAAATCCATTGAAATTAATGACATTTACAGTCATCAAACTGGAATAATACAGTGCTGTAGAGAAGGACCTGTAGGTAGAAAGCCTGCATCTGGGGCCCAATATGGCTGTTTATAAGAACAAATCCCAACTTACAGCACTTAAAGTCCTGCCTCCAATACAGAAGATCCGGTCTCTGATGGCAGCCATTCCATGGTCGCACCGGGCAAAGGTCATGGCACGGTTAGTGATCCAGCGCCGCAGGCGAGGGAGGTAGCTGTATGTGTCCCTCAAGGTCTTGCCAGCAGAAAAGCCCCCTGGAGGAAAGAAGTGTGGCTAGAATCCCTCTGCCCTGCTAAAGCGGTTTTCATCAGAGGCTCATGGCACTCTGCAAACAGGCGTTAGGGGGCCTTGCCAGCCATCTCTGCCTGTCATGGTGAAAGGAGAGCGTTCCAGCTCCATATGCAGCCTTTCCAAGGTGCTGTACCCTGAAGACCCAGCTGTCTCTCCTACTCACCAGGAAGGGCAGGACGTTGTTACAAGTGGTGTGTGCCAGATGAGCATCCAGAAGTCTGGAGGTTTTAAAATCAAACCTCTTGGATATGAAAAGTGTCTCCTGCAAACAGGTTTTCCCCCCCACAAGATTTTATGGTGGCACGTGAGGTAATTTCCAACCCAACCAGGAAGCAGGAACAGCCTCTCTTGGGGGATCTGCTTCCACCAGGCACCAGGATGTGCAAAGATGCACAAAAGTGACTATTTAAAAAGAAATCTGTGCAAACTTTTCAGTTTTCAAGTTTTCCCTGATTCTTGAATCTGAGCCAGTTCCTGTTCTCTAACCATTCCCTGGCTCTAAGACACCCATCACGTGGTTCTCTCAGGGCTGCAGGAGTCCAGCTTCCTCTCTTTGAGGCAGGAGGCTACCATTTGACAGGGCACACCCCTTCATGCTCGCTGAACTGAAGAATGCAGACCATGTCAGAGTCTTTGAGACAAAGAAAAGGGAGGACAGGAGGTCAAATGTGGCTGACACAACACTTACCTCCGGGTTTTCCAGGTTGTGTGTAAACACGCTCCACCCCCACGCTGTCTGCTTGGGTACAGCACGTTTTAAGCTCTCATACTAGCATT